ATCGCTAATGAATTTATGGCACAGCGAAACTTCCTACAGATATCACACAAACAAAAAGATTCTCTAACAGTGCACAAAATGATCTAGAATTTAATCAAGTACATTGAAGTAGAGAGTTGAAGAAATGATGTTTCAACATAAACAAAATTAGTCTTTGTCATATATTCCACCTGAAGTCAGAAATAACAATGGGACAGGAGTCCAATTTTTTTACATTTCAATATATCCGTTTCGCTAACAATTACCATTCGAAGTTCTCATCTACAATAAAGAAATGTATTGTAGTCTCAAATCTCAATATGACAAAAAAGTCAATGAATATCACTTTCTTCCGGTGTTGTATAAGTGCAACAAGCTAATGCTAAATAGAATGGTAGTACTATTGCCAACAGTTGTATTTCGTATGTATACAATTAAATAGTTCTCTCCCAAATGAACAATACACAACACATCAGCAATAACAAGAAAGAACAATGACAATGTGTGAAATAATCTCAGCTATTCCCACAAAAGATTCAATCACTAGTACAATGCAACAATAACAATCAAGAGTCCAATTGCTTATGTATATTTACCTTATGTAATGGATTGTTTTCTATTTAAGATCCAATATTGTTGATAAAACTGACTTTATTAGTCCCTCAACAATTTTTATTTTCTAATAGATGACAAGTATGTGTGAAAAATTTAGTTTGATTAAATAAAATTTAAACCAAAGATCTAGGTTTTTAAGATTCGGACACCCCCTCCCGCCCTTTTGAAATGTGGATAAAAGCGTTTCTTGTATCATACATAGAAATTGTTTGGAACGGCTGGCTGTTACGGTCTAACTTGACAATTAACAATTCCAAGGCCGCCCCCTTTGAAAAATCCTTGCTACGCTCCGTTGAAGGGCATTCAAAATAATAGATTCAAAGAATGAAGGTGAATTGCTACTTTTGTCTACCATTCATGAAGAGAAAGTATTACCGTAATTATGTCCAATTTTATCGAAAAATGACACATATATCATGTTTTGATTCCTCCCGAATTAAGTAAATTTGAGAACTCATAGCTGTTGAGATATTATTATCTCTATCAGCAAAATAGCTATTCAGAAAGTGGGTCATTATTCTTTGGGTATGTGTATGTTTGCTCTGAGCAAACTAGAAACCAACAAGACAAACTTTCCCAACCAATATTACAGAGTAGTGTACTATCCATACATAAAGCAATGCATTGGGTAACAATGCATCTAATTTTATCCTTTAAAACAGCATTTGGATTGATCAAGATAGAATATAAAACATACAACTGGATATACTGATCATGCAGAATGATTCACTTGAAAACTTACAGAGTTCAGCGTAAACTACAAGTCAAAATAATATTTGAACTTTTACACAACAAAAATGAGTTTACTGCGCAATAAAGTACTGATCGTTTTTTTAAATAGACTAAACATGGAGATATATAAAGATACAGTAAACAAATAGCCACCCATTTCCCATGGTTGTTCTGATGAAACAAAGGTCATAAGGTAAATATGCGTCATTCTCTCATGACGGCCTGTTATAAATTACCACAGTCATGTGACAATAATGAGAGATTTGAGTTCTGCAAGAAAGTCATTAAAAAATATACAAATGACCATAACAGTAAAGTATTGCACATAAAATTGGTCCAATTTGTTATAACATATTTACAATAAAATTAGAAACTCAGACTAGAAAATAAAAAAAAGTTGAGCTGGGTGACTTTGTCCATAATTCAGTTGCTCAAAATCAGATACACTGCAAAAAAAGTCATGAAAAAAATTATCACGATATATACAAAAATCCCCTGACATTGACAAGCTGAACATTGCGACATAATATCGAATTCAATCCAGTGGAGTTGGGTTAAAGAACTGTCTTCGTTTCAAATGCTTTCATCTATTTTAGAACCATAATTTTTACAGAAGCTACAAAACTTGAAAGTGCCAACCTAATATGGATAATTTCATTTACATGTTACTGCACTTGGACTACAAGAGATAAAAATTACTACTTAAGGTTTGTTACCATATCCAAAATACCTATTCTAAACGATACAAATTTGGTACTATACCTCATTACCTTCAATGAATTAGGTGAGAGATACAATGACTGTGAATAATAACATGAGGTGAATTCTCAAGCATGTCAAGGATATTAGTATAATGACCAAAATATCACATTAACATGAGAAATCATTTACACGTCCAATTATTAGTAAATATCAATACAACCTCAAATACCCTAACTTAAAGGCTGCTGACTGCTGTACTAAAATAAAAAAAAATATGCGACAAAAAGTATTGAAAAATTGCAAAATTTAAAAAATGCTGAAATAAAAATGAATATATTGTAATACTTAACTAACACTATCATACTGAAAATTTCTTACTAGAAATAAAATGTTCAACAGCCTTGCTGAGACACTGACTTAAGCACAGGCACATCGATTAATAGGTGACACTTTCCAAATCTGTAGCTAATTCCATTGAATACACATTATACACGAGCATATTTTCACAATGTCTCAATCCCCTATGATGACATTATCAATTATCATCATATACTCTGTGTATTGAAGGTTGCTGACAACTTCAATTATGAACTTATATGGCTGAGAATATTCACTTCCAAATATTTAAAACCTAGTTGAGCTAAGCTTGATTAAATGTGTACACAAAGTCTGTTATTGGCTATTAGTTTCCTAGGAAATGTTTTTAATACAACAGCATACATAGGTACATATTTTACTGCTATCGGTTATGTTAATGAGTAGTGTACATTCATAACAGACAGATGCTATATTTAAGTATATTGTAGGTATGGCCGCTCAATTCTACTAACTCTCATACAAACCAAACGAAAAGTACGTAACAACAATATTACAGATATGAGGAATAAGACAGCAAAGGAAGCATAACACCAGCGGCTCCAATGTGCTTCATCATCTGAGAAATGGACAGCTATTGCTGTAACACATCCTGCCAGTATAAGCATGATGACAGTGAGAACGGAAAACAACTTAATCCTTCTTGATCTATATCTTGGACCAAAAGAAGAATATTGACTGCAGTGTGGGCATGCATCATAAGCCTCTCCCGGTTGAACCCATGAGAATGATGTGTTGCAGTATGCACAAATGATCCTCCGAGTAGGATTCTGAGTTCTTCTTCCTTCTTCATCTCGATTAAAGTTTGTGATGCTGGCTGGTCCTAGACTGATGACACGCTTGCAGTTGGGTCTTGGACAAACAATTCGCTGAGAAGTTGCCTTGCAAATTAGCAAGCAGTTGCATGGACAACGGACATATTTTTTTCCAGAGGGGGCGGGACGGATAGGAGTGGCTTCACCACACGAATGGCACTTAATGACATGAAGGTGAAGTTTTCCTTCAACACTCACACAGTCTGACAAACTCTGCAGTTAATATGAGGTTAAGTGAACTTCCTGCGGAGCTACCTTCTGATGGTGTTGGAGTTGTTGGATGAACATTGTAATATGGAGGGGGCTTGCTGGTTTTCTCATCATAGCTAGAATAAGGGGGTGGATCTCCTTCTTGCAAGCTATATTCCAATTGATGGACATCAGCTGGATTCTCAGAATCAACTTGAATTTGATGAGATAGCACTAGAGGAGACGATTCATCGTCTGTATCATCCATTGTACTTCACTATGTTTTTGCAATCAGAGAACACAATTTAGTTAGATACACTGTAAAAATCAATATTGGTTTATTTAAAGAACAAAAAACTTAATAGTGTACCAAGTCTTTTGGAAATCATGACCAGTGTAAGGACCACGCACAAATCAGATATGACTCATGAGTCAAGTGTGAGACATGTTTCACAGTGACTTGGCGTTCCTGTAGTTTTTACTGTCATGAAATAGTTCAGATCAAAGATCCCAACAAAAAACAACGAGTTATTTCATATTCTTGCTATGGGATCCTTATAAATGACTAACTATGCCAAATTGGTTATATCTCCTAGGTTTATGCTATATGATATATTTTCTTGCAACAAATAACCCCAACTGTTATAGATAGTTGTAGTGTTTAAATAATGTCATGATACCAAAAAAATGATACAACAAAATTTAGCATGAAAATAAATTTTTTGAATCTGAGATAATTCATAATAAAATTATGCTATATATCAGGGGTGGCCAACACGTAGATCGTCACGTCTCGAGTAGTCGATCGCGTCTGATGTTGAGCGAATTTGATAAAATACCCCAAAACATTGCCTTGAACAAGTTTTACACAGCTTTTCGCCACTGTGAAAGTTAGGAATGAACGTGCTGATTAATATGTGTCTTGACTGACAAACGATCCTACAATAGCTTCTGCAGTATGCGAAAGTTATTGTCTCACTCCAAGAGTAGTGTGATAAATTTTGTTCGCAACAGTAGCAGTGCCATCAGAATGCTTGATTTTTCTAATTCCATGCGCGCGAAGAATCGTACTTGGAGGCAATTGTGAATTAGATAGGCTACTGAAGTTTGGTCAGTCATGAACCAATTATGGTTCGAAAATATTTCTATTTCGCTGTTTTAATATCATTATATGAATACTTGGCAAGGTTTTCATAAGGAATTTTCGACAACTCAAAATTAGGCAGGCATTAGATCTGAATTGTATGATTTGAATAAATCTTAAATAAATGATGAAACATTTACTCCTGATACAATTACGTTAATTAAATTAACAAAATGGAGCATAAAAAATACAAATTTTTGTGGCGATTTAACGCCCAGTTATCTCCATATTCCAGTACTCATTCGTTTATGTGTATGACCTTATTAATTATTACAATTATCAGCAATTTCGAAGATTTTAGTCAATCACAGTCGAAAGTAGGTTGGCCATCCCTGCTATATATATATATAATGAAGTTACACAATAGTCAAACATTATCATATGATGAAATCTGTATTTGTGCAGAAAAAGAACCATGCATTAAGACGACAAATACTTTCAGTAAATTATCAATCTTCCTCAAATCCCATGACAATTTCCGAACCCAACTCCACATTGTCTCCAAACTCTGGCAATGCTGACATATTATTAGCATTTTGAGAAGGGAAAGAGTCCAATAAAAAGGTACTGTGAGATTGCAAATTAGCATAAGGTTTTTGCATGTCAGAAATTGTTGCATTCGAAAACTGCGCATCCACTTGTTCACCAGTTTTAATCGCAACCTGAGTAACAAGCACTTTAGATTTTTTAATCTTTTTTTTATAGGTGTGCTTACAATGTTCTGTTACAATATGTTGTCTCATGAGTCGCATTGTACCAAACTTAATTTTACATTCTGAACATTGTAACTGTCTCATATTGCATATGTCATTGTTTATATGTTTTCGCAGGGATTTGATTGATGCAAATTTTTTTGCACAATTTCCATTCGGACAAACAAGAGAAGACATGTCATAATTATTTATATCAAATGAAGTTGTTTTATCATCTTTGCTCACGTATTGTCTTTTACATACCAAGCAAGGATGTACCGTTACATCTTCACTCTTGTCTTTTTTGTGAGTTTTCATATGAATTGTCACTGCACTCATTTGAGAAAAACGTTTTCCACATGTATCACATATAAATGGCTTTTCACCAGTGTGTGTTCTTTGGTGTGACCTAAGATCTCTTGGATAAAGAAAACGAAGAGGGCATTCATTGCATTTATATCTCTTCTCGCCATGATTATGTCGGTAATGACTACGCAATCTTTCATGTGTTTCAAATATCTTTCCACAATTTTCACACGGACATGAAAATGGTGGTACACGAGGTAAGCGCACTTTGAGACGAGTATACTCAGCTCTTTGAGTAATTTTGTTTTTGTTGTCTGAAACTGTTATTATAAACACTCCATCGTCAATACTTGTTTCCACTTTTTGATCTGTATCACTATAAGCACCATCGAAAGAAAACAGTTTTTCAGACATTTCATTTGACTGCACGCGTGAACAAGATCCTGCATACAGCTACATATGGGTATAGCGCTATGAAACCAAATAAACCTTTTCTATCTGATATAATAAAATTAGCAAAAGCAAATAAAATTTTACCAGATTGTAAAAAACATATTCTAATAATATAGAAATCGGTGTACCAGTATTCATATAACTTGGCTATTAGCTAGGGATGGGCCGGGATTCGGATACGGGCATTTTTTGGACTCTGATTCAATTTCAAGTCCACGTCGTTTTTACAGAGTCTATAATTAATTCTGTTTTTACTAATTTACGCCTATGTTTGTACTTTTACCCCTATAAATCTCACTACATACCTTACCTAGTTGAAATTCAAGGTTAGATATGTAACAATATCACTCATGTGTATTATTAACACTCCTAATAAAAACAACGACAGATATCCAGTTCAGATAATATAACGCAAGTTAAAAACTATTGATAGCTCATAATAATGATGCGCCAGTTGCCTTCAAACTATCTATCCTTTTTGGTATACATGTGGTACACAATAAAATATGTGTTAGCGCAATATTTCTGACATTTTGATTCACGTAAATAATCTTTTAAATCGAGTTTGTTACATGCAATCCTTTCTCTAAAAAGGGAGCAATGGAAAGCATGGCGCGTTTTAGAATGTTCACATGAACTACTAAATTGCAAGCATTCTATTGACGACGAGTGGCATCTCTCTACCATTTGCGCATGTGACATAGTAAATTTAGGGCTAGAAATATCTGGAATTATGGGGAAGCATTGTAGTCAAAAGCTTTTTATTTTTCATATTGACATGTAAGTAAGAATTTCTGAATAGCCGCCCAGGATTGACACAAGGTGGTGGGCTGGAAATCCAGTTCACAGCCAAGGCGCACATTGACCCACGTTTACGTTTGTATTATGGCTGCCAAAAAAGAGGAAAAATATATTTTTAAATTGATTTAACAGCTATCTGCGAAACCATTAGGCAAAAAATATGGGCTATGCCGTATGTTTGTGAGCGCGCCATGCTGTAGTATGGTCAAAAACGTGTTTTTCCATTTTTACATTGTGACGTCACGGACTCGGGAGGATTCGATTCGAGCCCTTGACCTATTACTCGGATTCGTCGAATCTCTGTAATGCCGGACTCGAGCCATCTTTACTATAAGCATAGCTCCACGTGACACCACAGGAAATTTTTTCCACTTCGGAACAGCAGCCTCTCTCATCTCCCAAAATTCTGGTAATAAATCGTTAAATGGGTGAAAACATGTCTTACAGCACGGCAAACATTTAAACTTAGGTCCAGTGCGTCTATTTCATATGAAATAGTCGTATCACACAATCAAACACTCTGTGTCACGAATTATCACAAAATAAACTACCGGTAGTCTATGTCAATAATACCAAAATTTCTACATTTCAGGCCATTTTGTATAAACCATCAAGAACCTGGGTGAAATTTCAACTTTTTCAGTGAAATGAATGTAGTCTAGTCCAATAAAATTCAAAAATACAAAAAAATTACATTCTCTACACTTTTATGATAGAATTCAACATTCAGACATTTGATTGGAATGGCCCCTACAGCCCTAGCTAGGCGTTTATGTGGCCTCTGCGATGTTACTTCAGACAATCAGAGGGTTGAAACCCGCTGGCCTATTAGTCTAGTAACAATATTTATTCTATACCAGTACGGATATCGCATCAAAATTCAACTCCTGCATCACATAGGCTATCACAAAAGCCTTAATTCTGTGATTTTGTGGTTGTTTAACAGTTTAACGATCACATTGACTGAATTACCGGTACCGGTACCGGTACTTGGTATCGTACGTCACCGACGGTCTAAAATATATATCGTAACAGACTCACTAGCAATACTCATGTACCGATAACTGCGACACTTTTCGGTTGGAATAACCAAATTCTGAACTAAAATTCGGCAAGCTGACAAGGTTTCGCTTGACATTCGCTACCGTATTTTTGTTGCTGGAGAGTCGAAGTTTTGTTGACGACAGACGCAACAAAGCAATGTGATATCCACTAGATGACGGACGAGAATCGATAAAAAATAAGTATAAGTTTATTTCGACTCCATAAGTAGGATATTTTGCGTATTTGATTAATGTTTATTTGCCACAAAAATGTGACAGTATCTGCATAATAATTAAACAGTATCAAAGAGACGGGATACATGTTCAAGACCTTACTGTGAAGACCTTACTTACTCAAGGCCTAAGTCACATATGTGCGACATACACCTCTAACGAGTATACCTGCCGTTTGGGACTACTGTGATGAATGTTTGCCCGCGAATCGACATCCTTATTTATTTCGTAATATTGGCCAATCAGCAAGATGGAAAAAGTGACGTAACAATGGATCTTTTTTCATCAGCTCAGACACTTTTGTCATTCAAACAAATCTTTAGGCGTGTTTGTTGAAGTTGTTTTCGCATTTTTGAACTCTATTCGTTAGATTTTAGCCGTGTTCGAAAATTGGTGTAGAAATAGCTCGGATAGACTAGGGTAAATCAGAGGTATTTTTCATCTGTCAGTCTTTTCTCAACTTTATTTGCACCCTTTGTGTCTGAAAAATAAAGTCTGAAGAGTAGAATGTCCTTAACGCACGAAAGGTAATATATTTCCAATAAATGCCTCCTAAGTTTGGATCTAAATTGTGACGTCGTTTTTTAGCTTATTTCAATTTGTTTCGAAAAATAACACTAGAGCTTATAGGGTTGCTAGTTATGCGCATTTTCCATCTAGTTGACACGATTTCTATGTTAAACAACTATTTCGTTGTACTTCTTTAAATCTTAGTTTAATTTTACTATATCATCAATTGATTTAATTCACCTTTCGCCATTGAATGTGTAATATATCTCACTTCATCGTCCATACATTGTCGAATGATAGTCGTTTCCACCTTCAGTCAACAAAATGCGGCGTCTTTCTGTGAGAGAATCAGTGATGTAAAGACCGGTTCCACGGAGTTTTTTTGGTGTATTAATAAATTTGGTGTTTTACGCTTTGACGAAGAAACTTAACTATGGTGAGTATATTTCCTTTGGAGTCTCTTGGCAAGATATGTATGGTATGGGTGTCCCCAATTTAAATAGAATACTTAGGTTTCAGATTTGTATTTAGAATCCTCAAAACAAACATCTCAAATCTTTGATATAGGTTGGATTGCGGGTTGTCTCTACATCCATTACCAACTTTCATACAAACCATCGAAGCGTGACGGCTGCTGGCAGGCAATATTTTTACTTTACTTTGAGGGGACAAGGCGGTTTCGCTTTTCGTTCGGGAGTTTAAGCTGTTGCTTCGTTGAGTGCCAATGTTGCACCGGGAATGTAGTGTACTGTATGTCGTAATATCGTCTTTGAAGATTTAAAGTACGGCGCCGTACTATATATACTATGCTGACTATATTAGATAGGTCCACAGGCCTGCCCAACCTTTTTCGTCTCGAGGGCTACTTTCACGTGAAGAAATCGATCGCAATCCGCAAACGTTTGTACCAAACAATAATATCAGATGAGTCCTGATTTTGGTGTAGGTAATTACATAATACATAAAAGGCGCGTTTATTAACATGAAATCAATCAAATTAATAATTGCTTTCTGGTTACTGGGTAGGGCTGGCAAATTATTCGATATTAGAATAGCGGTTTACTATTCGAATATCTGGTAAACGGGGCGTGGACATAACACTCCCGGGCGACCGAATCAAAGAATCAATCATTTCACAACACACTTGCGGTTTTTAGGCGACCACGCAAGAAACACACACATCACGTCAAAGTTGAGTATTATATTTGCGTTATAATGGTTTTATTCATTCATTTTCAGTAGATACGATACTGCTTTAATGTTTAAATAAGCATAATGCGCGTCAATGTCGCGCAATATCAAGTTTTAGTGGGCCTTTTCGTAGAATTTGAAACACTAAGTATTTAATGAAGTAACACAGGGGTGAGCAAATTACGGCCCGCGGGCCCACTTTAGTGTTTTATCCGGCCCACTTGTTCGTGCTGAAATTAGGCTACAGTTTTCATGCTTAAAAATTATCGTTGAAGAGATCGGAGAAACAAAAAATCGTCCGCAAATGTAAATATTGTAATTCCACACGTACTATCAGTACTCACTAGCAATACTCATGTACCGATAACTGCGACACTTTTCGGTTGGAATAACCAAATTCTGAACTAAAATTCGGCAAGCTGACAAGGTTTCGCTTGACATTCGCTACCGTATTTTTGTTGCTGGAGAGTCGAAGTTTTGTTGACGACAGACGCAACAAAGCAATGTGATATCCACTAGATGACGGACGAGAATCGATAAAAAATAAGTATAAGTTTATTTCGACTCCATAAGTAGGATATTTTGCGTATTTGATTAATGTTTATTTGCCACAAAAATGTGACAGTATCTGCATAATAATTAAACAGTATCAAAGAGACGGGATACATGTTCAAGACCTTACTGTGAAGACCTTACTTACTCAAGGCCTAAGTCACATATGTGCGACATACACCTCTAACGAGTATACCTGCCGTTTGGGACTACTGTGATGAATGTTTGCCCGCGAATCGACATCCTTATTTATTTCGTAATATTGGCCAATCAGCAAGATGGAAAAAGTGACGTAACAATGGATCTTTTTTCATCAGCTCAGACACTTTTGTCATTCAAACAAATCTTTAGGCGTGTTTGTTGAAGTTGTTTTCGCATTTTTGAACTCTATTCGTTAGATTTTAGCCGTGTTCGAAAATTGGTGTAGAAATAGCTCGGATAGACTAGGGTAAATCAGAGGTATTTTTCATCTGTCAGTCTTTTCTCAACTTTATTTGCACCCTTTGTGTCTGAAAAATAAAGTCTGAAGAGTAGAATGTCCTTAACGCACGAAAGGTAATATATTTCCAATAAATGCCTCCTAAGTTTGGATCTAAATTGTGACGTCGTTTTTTAGCTTATTTCAATTTG